TGGACATATAACAGACAAGAAATAGTACCATTATATATATATATATATATATAGCTGTGAAACTGGTTACTAATCATCCTGTTATCTAATCTAGAGCTCCCGATGAGTCGGCAGCAAACTTACAGACTTACAAGGCTAAAATCTAGGGTTCGATTCCCCGAGGTGGACAGAGCCTAGATAACTCATTCAATAACTTTGCACAACAAAAACAAAACAACGATCTAATGTAGAGAGTAAAAGTTGTTTGAATATTTTAATGATGTACAGTGAGTGTTTTATCTAGTAGATATTTTAAAAGATGCTAGCATTTTGAAATATTTATTGGTTATCAACTTATCACAATAATTTTGTAACGTGAACGCCAACATCGCAATTGGGGCTTAAGCCTACTTACTGTTTTTCGTTCGTCCTAGATTTGATGTCGTTGGAAGAAGGTACTTTGTCACGGGTAAAAAAGTCCACAACGTCGTCCGAGGTATCAGTCCTCGATGTCTTTACTGTACGTATCAATTGAAAACCACTATCTATTTGTTTATCTATAATGTTACATAACACAGTGACCACTTATCTATAATGTTACATAAGTGAGTAATTACACCCATTTTTTATGACTTCTTTACAACAGAATTTTATAACAAACAAAATCATGAAATTACTAAATATGATGAAACATATGGGTCCGACCGGTAGTGATTGGTTTAAAAATAAATCGCTAAATTTGAATATGAATTCAATAAATAGAACGTTATCAGTGTAAGTAAGATCCCTCGGTTTGAACAGTTGAAGTTCATAGTGATCATTCTAAACTCTGGAAAATAACTGTGATGGACTATTCTGTACCTGATTATTCTGACCACTGTCCAGGGACGCGATGGTTACTCTTTGGCCAGATAAAAATTCGAACTCGAGCTTTTCACTCCGAATAGCGATAACAGGTGTCGCAGTTGTAGCAGGATCTTCACTCACAACGAGGTATTGGCACATACCAGCCAGATACTTAGTGACGTCACTCATCAGTTTCATCATATCAGATGTAGTTGGACCAGCTATCAACTTCAGAGTTTTAATCGTTAGAAGGGTGTTTACCTGAGATTAATAATGTTCATAAACATGGTTAGATTGTGTTTTTTGAGGCGTCCATTTCCATTGCACTTGATATTAATACATTTAAAAAATAACAAGACTTGACTTAAGCTTTTCATCATGAATAAAATTATAACTACTGTTATGATGTGTATAACATATAATGATTACAGCCAGCCTTAAGAGTCCTAGATTGAGAAAAACGTGACGTCGGCAATGGATATAACAAATATAGTGTGGTTGGAATACTATTATTATACACTCTAATTCTTGAAAATCACTAATGGATTAAAATTAAGAGTGTAGTGTTTAAAAATGTAATAGCCTTAATACTAATGTCTTATGCCAAGTGAAATTGTAATCATAACTACGTGAGTAAGCGCATTTTTCTGTTCCTTGGGAGTAGATACGAATAATTTTCGTTGTGGTCACTGTGTTTCTACGTAAAATGCATAGGAAATCCCAGTAGTAATTCGTGTAAGTAATTGTAATATTGGTGTCATTATTTTGTTTATATTTCTTTGCTATCTAACACATGTGTTATTAGAGAACCAAAGGTAATGGACCCTGGAGCAATTTGGTGCATAAAATGTTTAGAGAAACTTGCTAAAGGATGAACAGGTCCAAATAGAAGCCTGTCAGTAATGCCTTTTTTAAAACGAATAGCAATAGAGAATAGTTTTATGCGTTTCCTAAGTACGTTGTATTCTTTTTTTAACGTTAGTTGCATTAAAAATATTAATTAAATGTTCAATATATAAATATATATATATCTCATTTAATATTTATATTAATGTATTTTAACGATTATTTTATATTATTGATTAAATATATGGGTTTAGGATTATACTAAATCTTCTAAACTGGCTCAAGCTCATAAGATGTTATTGGGATTACGGTCGAAAATATCGATAACAGCGAAAGAGAGTAACGAACTGATGAATCAAGTTACTGTAACAATTTTAAGGTTTCGTTTATTGATTTTCTCCTAATCAGAAGGATTTGTAACTTATCCTTTTTAATTCCGATCTATGTAGGTAGCTCGCTTTAATCAAAACTTAATGATATTTAAAAGAATGTTTTATTACTTAATGTTTTT